GGCCAGGTAAAAGGTGAGAATAGCCAAGAAGTGAAATTGTGAATGCCTGAGGAAGGGTACTGAAGAAAGAAGAAGGCTGGAAGGCTTATTGTTAGAGTATTATCATATGCTGCCAATCACATCCACATTTAGCTGTGCCTTTTAAAAGTCTTAATGAAAAATTGACAATGAACACAAAGATTGGTTCAGGTAAGTATCATCAATAGATGCTAAATATTTGGGAGAAACTTTGATAAGGAGAAGCCTTGCTTACAGGGTCTTAAAGTGTCTCTCCAAAAATTGTGAATGAGTAAATATACATAAATAGCCGAACACCTTAACCAGATGATCAAAACAGACAGCACCATAAGAAGATGGACTCTGTGTGCCTCTGGATGCGGAACCTGAGCACGCATCATTACTTATGTAGCACTGTCCTTTGAAATGCATAAGCTCAACAGAAGCATTAAGAAACATCAATCAATGTTGCAAAGAGAAACCCTTTTCTTAAAGGGGAAGACTGTCTCATTCAAAAATATCAGAACCATAAAGACAAAGAAAGCCCGAGAAACTCTTAAAGGAGACTAGAGAGACATGATGTAGTAGCTTCCTATTGCTGCTATAACAAAGTACTATAAACTTGGTGGCTTAAGGCAGAACAAATTTATTATTTTACAGTTCTGGAGGTCAGAAGTTTCAAATAGGTCTTAAGAGGCCATTATCATGTTCATTAGGGATGTGTTTCTTTTGGATGCTCTAAAAGAAACCTTTTCCAACTTCCAGAGGCCATGTACATTCCTTGGCTTGTGAATCCCTCTTCCATCTTTGAAGCCAGCAGTGTAATATTTTCAAATCTCCCTCTCTGGCTCTGATGCTCCTACCTCCCTTTTATAAGGATTCATGTAAATTAGAGTGGGCCCACCAAAATAAATTTCCCATCTAAAAATCCTTAATATAATTTCATCTGCAAAGTCCTTTTTGCCATGTTAGGTCAAATATTCCCAGAATAAGGTATATTTGGGAGTCATTATTCACATGGTATCAAAATGCAAATTATGATCCTAGATTAGATCTTATACTGGAGGGAAAAAAATGCAAAAAAAAGAGAAGAAGATTAAATTGAAATACAGACCTAGATTAAAGAATTATAATTATTACAAAATTTATTGAAGTTGCAAATCTACTGTGTTTAGGTAAAAAACTCTCCTTTACTTAGGAAATGCACCTGACGTGTTTAAGAGTAAATGGCCATGATGTATACAACTTATTCACGAAGTTCAGAACATAGTAAAACACACATGCATACATAGCAAGAAAGCAACTGATAAAGCAAATGAGGCAGAATGTTAAAATTAGGTGAATCTGGATTATAGTGAACATGGGTGTTCTTTAAATATTCTTGCAACTTTTTTGTAAATTTAAAATTATTTGCAAATACAAAATTTAAAGAAAACTGATGAATATATACTTTAAGTAAAAATTGCAGAAGGAATAAGATCTAGTGTTTGGTAGCAAAATAGGTGACTACAGTTAATAAAAATGTATACTTCAAAATAACTAAAAGGTTGGAATTGGAATATTCCTAACACAAAGAAATGATAAAATTTAGGTGATGAATATTCCGGTTACTCTGATTTGATCAATATATACTGCATGCCTGTATCAAAATATCATGTGTATCCCAATAAATATATACAACTCTTATGTATCCATAATAGCTAAAAATAAAAAAATTAAATTAGTGAAGAGTTTTTAACTCAAATATCACAAGCAACTCATTTTATGTAGTGCTATGGAAGTTAAAATGAATGAAGATGTGTGGCAACAATACAGCAATGTCATTTTTATTCTTTCTGCAATAACATTACTAGTAAATGTAAAGGATCAGAAATATTTAGGTATTTTTTAAGGTTAGGAAGTTAAAGGAAATTTTAACAGTCTGCCAATATAATAGCTTCAAAGAGTTTAAAATAGCATTGGTGATTATCGTTAGATTTAAACAGTAAGTGGTTGATCATACCCTGCTATTTGTGAGACAGAATCTGCTAGGTAATTTTCTAAGAAGGACCTTGGAAAAGTGAACTCCCTTTTCCAGGAGAATTTAGCTGTTTTTAAAAAGAAAGAAAAATAAATAAAAATAAAGTGTATTCTATTCTAGAGCTTTCTTCTGCCCAGTGCCTGCAGGCAGAATTTTATTGCTTTGGCCCCAGAGAATCTTTTTGGCACCCAATCCCACTCCGCCCTCTATTGTTTAAAGACAAAAGATAAGGCAGCTGGGACTCTGACCACTGGCAAATAATCAGAGGCCTCCCCACTGGGAAACTCCTCTGGTCTTGGCAGAAACCAACATTTCAACATGAAGGTAAAACAAAGGGTGAGACCCCTGGTTCTGCCCAATGCTCTAAGCATGGCCTTATTTTTCTTGTCCACGGTGGTGGCCAAGAAGAACAGTGTTTCTGCAGTTGTGCCAGGACAGCATGCCAGAATCAAATAATAGTAGACTTTTCTCAATTACAGAAACAAGCACAAAATATGTGGCAGTGAATCAGCTTTATTTTCACAAGCTTGGCTCTTGCTATCACCAGTCGACATTGAAATATATGATTTAGCACAGGCTATGATTATACCAGCACAAAATATTCTATTTAGTTGTTTTCAGTTTAACACTTGTTTTTCAAAGAGCAGCAGGATTTATTTGAGTGCTTGGCAATCACAATCCTAAATGCTGCTGCAGTCAGGAAGGATCTGGGATGGGTCTTTATTACCTAGAGGCTTCCCTTCAAACACTTTCCCTAAGTATTGTAATTATTTAGATCCTCACCTTCTGTAACCCAGGGTTAAGAGTCTGATGACCTGGGGGTTTCTTTTTAAGACTCTGTCACTTTCTAGTTGTATAACCTTGGGCAAAATGCTTTTGAGCTGTAAATCTCAAAAGATCATTTGTAAAATAGGAATCATAATAGCTATTTTACCTTCCTCAGAGTTTTTCTAATCAGCCAGGAAAATTAATATGTGAAATAATTTTGCAAATGGAAATGTGTCACAAAAAGGCCGCATAATCCCCCTGCCTGCCTTCCCAATTATTAAACTTTTCGAACCTCAGATCATTGCCTAATTGATGTATGTTTGTTTCTTAAAGTGTTTGGCAAAGTGCTGGCTCCTAGTTAGTTTTTCCTAATTAAATACTTGCCGACTAAGTAACCAAATAATATAATTAATTAACTTTCAGGCTGCTAATAATTTTCCATTTTTATTTCCAGAGAACTCCCCCAACTCAATAGGAGAGACATTGACCTAGGCTTGAGGATAATTGGCTCAACATGAAGATACATGTTCTAAGGAGTTCTGAAAAATCTTTAGGTCATTCATGCTAAAATGCTTACTAATTTTTAAAAAATGTGGCTTTGGCATTCTTCTTGAAATGACAGCCTTGTAGTCTTTGAAATGCATTTTAAGCACAAGCACATACTGATGTGCTTAAATTAGGAACAGTTTTGATGGACTGATTCACAAAAATTGGTCAAAACCTAAAACAACTTGCACAAAGTAGATGTATACTAAGTTTTGGTATATTATGGAAAGATGAGAGTTGTATAGAAGAGAGTCTGGCAAAGTACTGGCTTTATAGTTTTAAATTGACTCAAGACACTCAAATGGTTTTACATTTACTCAAGACATACAATACAGTAGTTGAAATAAGCCAACATAAAACAACATGTCAACGCATGTTGAAAGATGTAAGTGAACTTCAAAGTATAAAAGCTTAACATAAAATTACTAAATATGCAAAAAGCTCAATGTCTTATGTATGGGTGCATACATTGCAGTAAACATATAAGAGAAGCTCCTTCTGCTCTTATATGAAAAACTCCAGGGAATGCTCTCTACATTATAAGCTCTGAAAGCACACATTGGAATGAAAAAGTCTAGCTCAGAATAATTGTTACCACTAAGAGACAAAGTGGGGATTAGTGAAGCTAGGGAAGGCGCATACATAGGGCATTAGTTATACTTGTAATGTTTCATTATTAAAAAAATATTTAAAGCAAATATTGCACAATGGTAAGGTTTGATAAGCTCTGTGATGGGTATACAGATATTACATTATTTTCTATGCTTGAAATATTTTTAGTGTATGAATTCTGATACTATGTAAAGAGAAAAATAATTGAAATTTCTTGGTTTCAGCAGTATAGTAGTATTTATAATAGTAAACACATGCACTTGTCGTAAGGTTCTAAGAATCTATTGCACTGCTAGTAAATTCAGAGACGAAATATTTGTGTTCTCAAATTAAACAGATTAGAGAAGTCATCTATGAAAAGAATTTACATAAACTTATACTCAAGCCCTTTTTGGGGGGATGCTTAAGGAAAATAAGAAATCTGTGACTATGTCTAAAGAAGATAAATCGCATTTACTTTGGGAGTACAGATGGCCCTCTGTATCCATGTATTCAACCAACCAAAGATGGAAACTATTCAAACAACCAGAAAACATAAAACAAAGTTTAAAAGCAGAGTATAACAATGATTTATGTAATATATGTATTATATTAGGCATTAGAATTAATTTAGAACTTATTTAAAGCATACAGAGGTTCCAGTGTGCCTTCCATAGTGAAAAATAAAAATTTAAAAATAAAGTATACAGAAGAACATGCATAGGTTATATGCAAATACTATGCCATTTCATAGAAAGGACTTGAGGATCATAGGATTTTGATATCCTGATGGAGGACTGAGTGGGAAGGAGGGAGGGTTGGAAGGTGTCCTGGAACCAATCCGCTAAGGATACTGAAGAATAACTATACAGGTCTATAGTGCTGAATTGATCACTGATTAAGTTTAACAGTTGCTTAAGAGGGGAAAAAACCCTGCAAGTCAAATTCCAAAGATAACTTCTTCAAATCCTGACAATAAACAAGCTGCTGAATAGTAACTAATGTAGTATCTCAATATGAACGATCCCATTTCTTCTGTGAGCTACTAAAATGAAACTCAGAAATGCGGTTTACATACCAAAACATCCATCCCGGGGACATATTTGAGGGTTATCATATAGTCTTTCGGAAGATTTGCCACCTACAGAGACAAAAGAAAAAAAAAAAGAAAGAAAGAAAGAAAGAAAGAAAGAAAAAGAATTCCATAAGAAAACTCTTACACATCAATTAATAATATTTGTAGTGGTTTGGAAAAAACATACAAAACTGTTGTGCTTTTTAAAGTTACCAATGGATTTCAATATTTACATGTATATTAATCTTTAATCCTTGATTTCCCTCTGTAATCAAAAGGCACTCTTCAAAATAAAGAGTGACAATACAAATCTTTTGGACTCCAATTCAGTTATGGCTGGCTAGGTATAACCTACTGAGTTTTGTAAACATGATCTGAATTTCAGCTTCCATCTGTGATTTTGGAATTCCCCTCCAGGACTATTTTCCTACTTGTTCCTCCATAGAATTAATCATAAAATATATGCTTTTTACGTCAATGGTTCTCAAAGTGTGGACCTCAAAGTGATGTGCCAGCCATAGGGAACCTGCTAGAAATACAAATTCTCAGGCCATACCAGACCTACTGAATCTTACTTAACAAGTCCTCCAGGTGATTCTGATGTGCACCCAAATCTGAGAACTACTATTGTATGTTGAACCCAAAAAATGATCAGTGAAACTTCAAAAGAACAATGCTACCTATGAAATACAAACACTTTACAACAAATAATTTAGAAAGATTCAGTTTGTGATGTAATGCAATTCTCTTAATTTGAGAAGTCTCAAATATTTGTCTAGGTTCTTTTAAAGGCTATAAACAACATCTGACTGACATCAGTCATTCTAGCATAAGTGAATAAGCAATATATTTGGGATGAAGGAATCTGGGACAAATCTAAACTCTGTACATTGGTTCCTCTAATTTATAAAATGAAGATCAAGATGCCTATGTCAAATGGTCACTTAGAATTAGGATAGATGAATGTGCCAAACACTCAATCCATGTTCTTTACTGAGAGCTATATTGGCAACTGACTTTGGAGGCATGTAATCCTGATAAGTTACAGAGTTCTACGTTCTCTTCCTTCCTATACTGTACTAACTTTGCTGTCCCACCCTTCTCATATCATCATTAAAATACCCAGATGAATAATTTAGCCAAAAATTGACTTAGCCCATCGGGTATTCAGATAACATACGTAAAAAAGTGGTTTTGCACCATGACATCTTCAAGGATCTATCTTTCTTTGTAGACTTATTTTTTCCTTCATTTTGTCTCTAAAAACTTTATTTTCCTTACAAAAAGCTAAGATCACGTGCATGTTTGCTGGACTGGGTCATCTTGTACGAGTTTACCATAACAACATATGTATGATTCTTCTTGGTCTTGTCAATAGCTTCTAGAATCTGAGAACAATTTATCGATAAATGAATTTAGGCATGGGCATAAGTAGTCAGATGGGAGCTAAGGTAGTAACTGATCCCATGGTGCTTACTACTATGCTACTTCCAGTAATACCACCCACACTCATTTTAGCTCTGAAATGATGCACTTGGTATGGTTCCTCTTCCCTGGGTTCACATAATCAGATCCCTCTGACATATTATCTCTATTTATCAGATGAAGAAACTGAGGCTCAAAGAGGTCAAGTACCTTGACTAAGGTCATACAACCATCACATTTTAAATTTGAACTAGAACCCAGGTCCCTCAAGAGCGGAGCCTCCTTTGTCTCTTAGCTCTACTACGTATTTTCACACTCTAAACTCTCTGGGAACTTGTTCTGGGTATCTCCCACTTGTGAATCTTCACCATCAACCCTCTTCATGCCATCCTAAATAAAATATTAGAATCATTGCTGCTTTGTTGTTTGTTTCTTTTTTGAGACAGGGTCTCACTCTGTCACCCTGGCTGGAGTGTAGTAGTGTGGTCTTTGCTCACTGCAACCTCCACCTCCTGGACTTAAAGAATCTTCCCATGTGTCAACCTCTGGGACTACAGGCATGCACTTGGAGAATTTTTGTATTTTTAGCAGAGACGGTGTTTCGGCATATTGGCCAGGCTGGTCTCAAATTCCTGGCCTCAAGTGATCTGCCTGCCTTGGTCTCCCAAAATGCTGGGATTACAGACGTGAGCCACTGCATCCATTCCATTGCTGCTTATTGAAAACACATCTGAGCTGCCAGACATGATGGCATTTTTTCATTTATTTTAGGAGTTAACTCCCTTACTATTTACACTTAACTTTCTTCCTCTCAAAATTTTCACCAGGCTTCCATAATTTCTTTTCTCTTCTTAATCTTCATCCTCATCTTTGAAAAGCAAAAGGGTCTAGTCATTTTATGTAAACCCTAATGACAAAGACACAGCAGACCTTTTGGAGGTGTGAAAGCAACAACTAAGCAGCAATATTCTATCTCATTTCGAATAAACCAGGTAAGTTAAAGGCATTCCAGATAGAAAAATACAGCAAGAAGTGGCAGGTATTCTGAACACAAGCTGCTTGACAATATAGCCCTTTCTTAAGCATAATTTACATTATTTTAAAAATACAATAATTAGATTAGTATTTAGAAAGTGTGGGATCTGAGTATATGTCTAAAGTAAAGAAAGTATAAAGAGCATGCTGACCAATTCCATTTCATGAATAATTTATATACAACTGTTGGTTCAAAGAAGCCTTATTGAAGTTCCCTGACAAAAACACTGAAATCTGCACTCTACCACTGGCAGTGGGGCAGTGAATAATAATAAAGTAATTTTTTCATTCAGCTGATTTACTGATATTTAATTTCTGGTGAGACTGAAAAATAATACTGTTGTTGAAATGTGCTTTATAATTTACAACAAGTTTTCATATACAGTCTCTACCACAAGCCCATAAAGATCATATTAAGCTTATTTTACAAATGAGGTCATGGAAACTCTGAGAGGTTAACTGGTATCCCCAAGGTCACAGGCATTAGAAGTAACTGGTGCAGGTAGGATGCAAACCCTGGCTTTTGTGCTGGGCCTCAGCACACCTACCCACAGTGCAGTCTCCCAGTTATTACTTTCTTGGTTTTCATTGATTTCTTTCTAATTACATTTGGAAGAAAACTTAGAAAGTCAAGTTGTAGATATTTGTGGTCACAATAAATTATTGTATTAATATTACTTTCTTAGTATTACACAGGTTGAGCACCTCTAATCCAAAATCTAAAATAAAGTTCACGCATACAAGCCATGTGATCTTTCACAAAGTCAACAAACATAAACAATGCGGAAGGACTCTCTTTTCAGGAAATGGTGCTGGGATAACTGGCTAGCTATATGCTAAAGAATGGAACTAGACTCCTACTATTCACCATATACAAAAATTAACTTAAAATGAATTAAAGATTTAAACATAAGGCCTCAAACTGTAAAAGTCCTAGAAGAAAACTTAGCAAACACCATTCTGGACATTGGCCTTAGAGAAGAATTTATGACTAAGTCCTCAAAAGCAATTCCCACAGAAATGAAAACTGACAATTGGGACCTAATTAAACTAAAGAGCTTCCACCCAGCAAAATAAACTATTAAAAGAGTAAACTGACAACCTACAGAATGGGGGAAAATATTCGTAAACTATGCATCTAACAAAGATCTAATATCCAGAACCTATAAGGAACTTAATCCAACAAGCAAAAAATAACCCTATTAAAAAGTACACAAAAGACATGGACATTTCTCAAAAGAAGATATGCAAGGGCTCAAGAAACATATGAAAAATTGCTCAGAATCACTAATCAACAGAGAAATGCAAATCAAAACCACAATAAGCCACCATCTCACACTGGTTAGAATGGCTGTCATTAAAAGTCAAACAACGGCATATGCTGGTGAGGCTGCAGAGAAAAGGGAGTGCATATACACTGTTCAGCCACAGTGGAAAGAAGTCTGGGGATTTCACAAAGAACTCAAAACTACCATGCAACCCAGCAATCCCATTACTGGGTATATATCCAAAAGAATCTTTCTACCAAATAGACCCATGCATTTGTATGTTCATCACAGTACTATTCACAATGGAAAGACATGGAATCAACCTACATTCCTATCACATGTGTAACATGGGAATCATGTAGAATTTAGCTAACGGATTTATAAGGATTAAATAACTCATATAAAATACTAAGTGCTCAGTGAGCCATGGTATGCGAATGAGTACGAATTTCTATTAATACTAAATGCAAGGGAGTGAGGTATTCTAGATAGGGTAAGGGTCCTATGCAAAAGAAAAGAAATAGGAAAGCTCATGGTGTGTTAGGGAAACCAGATAAGAGATAAGAAATATTCCAGGAAAACTGCATTTGAGAGGGACACTCCAAATGTTGAGCTAAGGAGGTCAAATGAGAGGTGGTAGGGTACAGGAGGAACAGCTCTACCACCAGAACTCTACAGCAAGTCACTTCTGCATAGACACATAGCATCATCTCTGTGGAACTTCTATTCCTTGTCTGTAAAATAAAGAGGGCAAACTAGATAATTTCTAAAAATTCAGTCTTGTTTGACTTGCTTATATAAGCGGTGATGCAACACTGAACATGTTTCAGCAGAGAAGGGACACTATAGTAAATTTAGCATAATTAGTATGGTAAGACAGTTTGAAGCAAAGAGAAAACAGAGACAGGCAAAAGATTAGAAGACTACTAGGAATGTGCTGACTATACATTAAATATTTATATGGAAACTGGAAACTAGAAAAGCAGGAACCAGGCCTACAGTCCAGAATGGTATTCCCTGTTGGTAGGGCTAAATAAATAAGTAACCAAGGATACACATTTTGAAAACAAATCTATTCTCCTGAAAGAAATTCAGAGCAAAAAAAAAAAATTAATTAATTGAAGGAAAATTTTACCGAAGGCCAAATCATTCTAATGAGCTTTGTTTTGGAGTACAAGGATGTCAATACTATGCCAGATTGTAAAATTAACTGCAAAAACAAGTTACTAGATGATGAGCTAACTTTGTTAGATGTGCTCCATTTACTGTCTTATTTGGATGTCTTAAGGATTGACCATGTCCAGTGACACTGGAAAAACAAGCACAGGAGAACAGCAT